TATTACATAACGCCAACAGGGTGTTGAGTGAGTGTCATAATGACGAGTCTCTTTCCATGCTTACCATGGACTTCTCCAATGCCTTTAACCTTGTTGATAGATCCGCATTACTTCATGAGGTCAGACTGAGGTGCCCTTCTATATCCTTGTGGGTATAATTCCTATATTGTCAAGCAGCAAGGTTGTATCTATGAGACACACATATTTGGTCAACTACTGGAGTTCAGCAAGGAGACCGCTTGGGACCACTTCTCTTTGCCCTTGTGTTGCACACGCTCTTGCATAATATTAGAGACAATTTGAAGCTGCTTCTACATGCATGTTACCTTGATGATGACACACTTATTGGAGATTCGGAGGAGGTGGCCAAAGCGTTAGACATCATAAAGGTTATTGGCCCAAAATTGGGCCTTTAGTTGAATATCAAGAAAACCGAGCTCTTTTGTCCCTCGTGTGATGGTTGGAAGCTGCGTGAGGGGCTATTCCCGGTTGGCATTAGGAGGCTGCCATTGGGGGTGAAACTTCTCAAGGGAGCTGTTAGTAGAGATGCTACTTTCATTAACAGCTTAGCCATAAAGAGAGCTGAAAACGCAGTGAATTTGATGCGCCTTCTCCCATAATTATCTGACCGACAGAGTGAGCTCCTTCTACTTCGGTCTTGTATGGGTATTGCTAAACTTTTCTTTGGGCTGAGGACGTGCCAACCCGTTCATGGATCATTTATGTAATTTTCTTAAATATAGGGACTATTTATGTAATTAGGATAGGAACTATTTATATAGGAACTATTTATGTACTTAGGATAATACATGGACCATTTTTTACTGTTATTATTGCTCATGGACCATTTATGTAATTTTCTTAAATATAGGGACCAATAGGTAATTTTTTTTGGGACTATGTCTACAATTTTTTTAAAAAGAATGACCATCAAAGTTTTACACAAGGACCGTTTCTATAATTTATCAAAAATAATGTCCATTAGATTCAAGGACCATTTTTATAATTTTTTCAAGCATAGAAATAAGGGTTAATCTCATAAAAGATCATATAATTTCTGTTTTTTTCTGTCATTTTATTTTTTTTCCTGATAAATACATTGTCTTTTTTCATTTTTTCCAGAAAAAAACCCTTAACCTTGTCTTTTTTCCCAAAAAAACCCTCAACTGTCTAACTGTTTCCAACTAAACCCTCAACGTTTTTAGTTTTTCTCGAAAAAAACCCCAGTTTTTACAAGTTTTTTCGGAAATAACTGATCGTAAAAATAAAAAAATAGATTTTTTTGAGGAAAAATTAAAATTGAGCTTTAATCCGAAAAAACACAAAATATAAAGTATTTTGTAAGATTAAACCAAAAAACAATTAGATAACTTTGTAGGAATCATTTATGTAATTTCCCTAAAACACAAGGACTATTTTCTTATAGCTTTCTTAAAAATAAGGACTATTAGATAATTTTATATGGATCATTCTTGTAACACCCTATTTTCACCTTTCAGTAGGATCTAATATAAACGGTTGATTTATAAAACTTAAAGTAGAAATATATTACTTTTTAGCCAAAGTAATCATCACCAACATGTAGAAAATGTCAATACGAATTCTGTAGATATATAAAACGCCTAAATCTTACTTCGTATGAATAAGTTATGATTTTTCAAAGTCTTGCGTTCCGCTGTATACGGTAAAGCGTATCGTAAAAAGTGAATCATAGATAGGTCACTTATTAGCTTACGTAATCTAAACGAAAGTCGTATTACTTATAAATGTGAGAGCGTTCATATAGAGAACGTCCAAATCTGACTTCGTATGAGGAAGTTATGATTTTTTGAAGTTTCGGCGTAGCAGTGTGCGACATTGTAATCGAAATCAAAATCGGTTGAGTGTTAGCCAAAACAATCTAAACCAGAGTTGAAGATCGCATGAATATGAACATGTCAATATTAAGATAGTCGACAACGGATTTCGTATGAAGGAGTTATGAATTTCGCACGTACTTTAATAGTCTAAACTGGTCTAAATATGAATTTTAGTTAGAGTGAGAATTAGCTATTGAGACCCAAAGGAAATTTTTAGAGCTCGTCAAGAGGATTCCGGGGATATAAAGAATGTTGAAAACGGAGCTCATATGAAAAAGTTATGGCCGTTCATAGATTCGTGAAAATACCCGTTGAGGGTGACGTGACGACACAAGAGTGTGCCACGTGGTAACATAAGGACCGGGTTCCTCCACCAACCAGTTGACGTGGAACGGAAACATGGCACCATACAGAGGTGACATGTGGCATGTTCTAGAAAGGAAGTGAGGTAGCCCGAGGGATATCGGACACGTGGCAATGACTAAGAGGGACCAGCACGGCAAGAGGGTGCGACGCGCTAGCGCATGTCTATAAAATGTTGTCGGATTCCCACTTCATTTATCACCGATTCCTTCCAACCACTCTAAAATCCTCTCAATTTTTCTAGATCCAACTTTAGGTGTTTTTATCGGTCAGTAGCGAGGCCTAGAGTATTAGAGGGATCGGGAAATAGAAAGCTTTCGGTTCGGAGTCCTGCCCGCGACTTTCGGGTTAGGATATAATTGCTCTATAGTATGCAATTAGGCCACCAGACTAGCTTAGTTAGTTGTCTGTCATGTTGAACTATTTGTCTACTAGATATGTATAGATAAATTATGTGGGAGTTGAGGGCGGACCAACCTCGTGTTGAAGGCCAATAGACTCGACCGGACCAACGTTACGTTAAAGGCCAAGGCGCGGACCAACTTTATGCTGAAGGCCATTATATGTTGTATTGGTGGATCGACAAAGAGGTCATGACCCATTATGTGTATGCATTTTATATGAATTGTGGTATATGGTATTTTGGGGAACTCACTAAGCTTCGTTCTTACCCAGTTGATTATAAATGTTTTCCAGGTACTTCATGGGTTCGTGACAAGGCAAAACTCGACTGTACACACGCGCATTCGCAACATGTTTCCACATAATATAATCATACTCTAATATATTGAATAAATAAGAATGAAAAAATTATGTTGAAAATCGGGACATAATAATTTATCTAAATTTCATAAATATAGGACTAATCGATTATTTTATAAAAATATGATAAGGCTAACTAATTGATATATTGAATAAATAAGAATGAGAAAATTATGTTGAAAATTGGGACGTAATAATTTCTCTAAATTTCATAAATATAAGACTAATCGATTATTTTATAAAAATATGATAAGACTAACTAACTGAACTTCATAAACTTTCTTGATAAAATGGATATATTTGATAACGTGGTTTTATCATGAAAAACATTTGAGTAAGTGAATACATACAATATATAAGTTAAACTTTTACATTAAAAGAAAATCTTTAATTTTTGAAGCAACAAGCCTGATTAAGAGATTTTGGAGGTTTTGTAAGAAAATTAAGTTGAAGCTCCTTAATTTTTTTTTTAAATATTATTAGGTAAATTTTTTCTGTTAATTCAGAACTTAACGTTGATAAGAAATATCTTGTAAATTCCCTATCCAAGTACTATATGCAATTCTTCATTCATTTATAATAAATTGAAATTACAACAATTAACTTTCCAAAAAATAAAATAAACAGCAAACACATTTCTAGTTTTTAAACATTAATCTTCTAGTAATTTTAAAAGCAAATTTATCCAATATATTTTTACGATCAATATTTTCAAAAAAACCTATTGCTTAATTGAAGTCAAAACCAAAATGTTTAATTTCACTTAAATAATATTTTAAATATTTTGGTTTAGAAAGATTCTTTCTATCGATGAGATTGTAATAAAAACAATCAACAATATTTTGTATCATAAACACACTAGATAAATGTTTATCTTTAAAAAAAATAGTATTGTGTTAGTTGATATATATATATATATATATATATATATATATATATATATATATTAGATCCGGTAAGAAATTTTTTTTGGTAGGAAGGTAAGAAGTAAACAAAATAAATTATGAAAAAAATAAATGAATCACTAGATGATTCATTTGTAAGATGATTCACAAGAAAAAATTCCCAAAAAAACATTTTTATGATTTATTTTTAAGTAAATTATGAAAAAATTCACTTTTATGACAATTTTAGTGAATAACAACAAAATCATTGTATAAATGAATCATCAAGATGTTTTTTAAGATTTTTTTCTTGTGAATCATCTTACAATTGAATCATCTAATGATTCATTTTGTTTGTTCGCGAAAAAAATATGTAGAAAAAAAACTTCTTACCTTCCTACCAAAAATTTCCTTCTTATTTGATCTTGACTCTCTCTCTCTCTCTCTCTCTCTCTCTCTCTCTCTCTCTCTATATATATATATATATATATATATATATAGATATATATATATATATATATATATATATATATATATATATATATATATATATATATATATCAACAATTAGTCATCACCATGGATTTATGAGATGTAAACATTTTGTAACATCTTTTAAGATTTTTGCAACATGTATTTAGTTCATAAGTATTTAGTTACTTTAAATTTTTATATGTAAATAAGAAACCATTTTTTTCATATTGTTTGTATTGTCCAAACCTTCACTCTAATGAACCAATAAATTGATCAATTATGTACACAAAATATTAAATCATAAATGATTATTAAGGTTAAACTACATGCACTAGTTCCGATGACTCAATGATATTCTCGTCAAAATATTTCTTCGTAAATAGTATTATTTTATTATTTTTCTCAACAAACACCACATTAATTCATAAATAATTATTAGTGTATATTACTCTCAGGCTTTAGCCCATGTATTGTTTAGCCAATCATTGTTCTGTATAGGCCTAGCTTTATACTTGTATGTTGTATATATTCATGTATTCGTATTCTGGAAAGGCAATGAATGATAATTTGCATTCTATTATGGTATCAGAGATTTTCTCCCTCTAACCCTACTTGTCGTCGCTCCCAAGTTCTCCCCTTCTTTTCTTTCTTTTCTTTCATGGCAGATGCAAATCTAAAGCCTTTTAGCATCAACAACATTAAGTCATTTGTTCCATTGATTCTTGACCTGAATCAGTTGACCTATGACTGTTGGAGAGTCCTTTTCGAGACCCACTACAGAGCTTATGGAGTTTATGGTCATCTTGATGGTTCCTCCCGTCCGAAGGATGACAAAGTCGAGCCATGGCACAATCTTGATAACCTCGTTTCCATGTGGATCTATGGTACACTCACTCAACCCGTTCTCACCATGGTGCTCAAAAGTGGCTACAAGGCTCGAGACGTCTGGAAAGCACTTGAAGACCTATTCTGAGACAACAAAGACGCTCGTGCTATAGAACTGGAGAATGAACCGCGTTCTAGGGTACTTGGGGACCGAACCATTGTTGAATACTGTCAAAAACTCAATGTTGTTGTTGCACTATTAGCCAACATCGCGTCTCCCGTCCCTGAGAAAACCTTGGTTACACATCTCCTCAATGGTTTGGGTCCCAAGTTTGATAACATTGCTACTGTGATCCGCCATCGTGAGCCACTTCCAAGCTTCCTTCAAGCCCACTCCATGCTTGTTCTTGAAGAACAACAGTTTGATCGAACTCTCTCCTTTGCATGCCGCCCACTCGGACCATTCTTCATCTTCTTAGGTTCTCCATACCACAACTGATGGGTCTCAATCTCAGCCCTGGGGGAACACTACGCGTGCTCCAAATCGCAGCAACCATCAGCGAGGACCACCACGCGACAACCGTCACAGCAAAAGCCGCGACAGTCGCTGCCAGCAGCCCTCAGCGGGACGTCAACAACAATAGCAACAACCTTCTCAGTTGCTTCCCTCGCCTTATTATCCTTCACCGTGGTGGCCTCCTTCCCCATGGTTCAATTATCGATCACCACAACATCCTCCATCTCTCAACAGCTCGCCATCTTATTCCCAACAGTAACCTGGAATTCTCGGCCAACACCCTGCATCAACGCCTCCAGCTGCTTTCCATGTCTCCCAGTCCACTCCTATGCATCCTCGTTGGAATTGGTTTCCTCCAATAACAAGTGATCAAGCCACAAATATTGGTGAATATTTTAGCTCCATTTCTCTTCAACAACCAAATGATTCCACCTGGTTTATGGACACGAGTGCCACTTCTCATTTAGCATCAGACTTGGGTATACTCTAATCCTTTAGCAATAAGAGTAATATTAATTCAGTTTTAGTTGGCAATGGCTCATCTATTCATGTTACTCACACTGGTCATGCATTCATTCCGTCCAAACACCGTCCCCTTCACTTACATAACGTTCTTGTTACACTCGATATTATTAAAAATCTTGTCTCTGTCCGTAAATTTACTAAAGACAACAAAGTTTCTATTGAATTTTATGAGTTTTGTTTTTTTGTGAGGATTTTATGACCAAACAGGTGCTCCTCCGTTCTGATAGCAACGGTGATCTCTACCTTGCCTTCACGAAGCCATCACCTCCTGTTGCACTTCTTTCCAGCAGCCCCGCCTTGTGGCACCAACGCCTTGGTCATCCGAGTCCTCGTGTGCTACAAAATTTAGTTTCTAATAAATTTATTCCGTGTAATAAACGCTTAAATGCTTTTGTTTGAGATGCATGTCATTTAGGCAAACATGTTCGTTTATCTTTTTCTCCCTTTACTTCTATTGTTTATGAACCGTTTGATATCATACACTCAGATTTATGGACATCTCCTATACCGATTATTAGTGGAATAAAATATTATGTTCTTTTCGTAGATCATTACTCTCAGTTTCTTTGGGTTTATCCCTTACGCAACAAATCTGATATGATCAACAAATTCTTACACATTCGTGCTTTTGTTAAAAACCAATTCAAACAAAAGATCAAATCTTTTCAATGTGATAATGGGGGAGAGTTCAATAACCATGAATTTCACCAGTTATTTGACAAAAATAGAATTAAATTCCGTTTCTCTTGCCCTCACACATCCCAACAAAATGGCATGTCCGAACGTATGATCCGAACCATAAATAACATCATATGTACCCTTCTTTTCCAAGCTCACATTCCACCCCCTTATTGGGTGGAAGCTCTCCATATGGCCACCCATCTCCTCAACATTACTCCCTCCACATCTATAGATAATCAAATTCCATATCTAAAATTATTCAGACAAAACCCGACCTTCACACACCTCAAAGTGTTTGGATGTCTCTGCTATCCATACATCCACCCTCCTCATAAACTGGCACCCCGCACCACACCTTGTGTTTTCCTTAGATACCCATATCATCATCGTGGGTATCGATGTCTTGATCTCGCCTCTTGTAAGATCATTATCTCTCGTCATGTTGTGTTTGATGAATCATCCTTCCCTTTCCGTTCCATGTCTCCTAACACTTCCCCCTCTTATCATTTCTTTGAAACCATTGATGACATCTCTTCCATATCTCGCCACCTCCTATACTCTCTTCCCCAAACAAAATATCCTCCCTCCCCTACTCCCAAAAAATCCTCTCCCTCACCCGCCACCACCACCAAGGATCCTCCTACACCTCCTCCTCCCCCACCCCCTCTCACCCCATGACCACTCGCTCTCATCATAAGATCTCCAAACCTATCAACCGTCTGAATCTTCATGTCACCTCCGAATCTCCCCTTCCCAAATCGCACATTCATGCTCTTTGTGACCACAACTGGACCATTGCCATGCAGGATGAATTTGATGCTCTTATTTCTAATAGGACTTGGAATCTTGTTCCGAGACCCATTGTAACATCCCAAAAATCATGACCAAATATTTTGTTTTTAATTAACTAACTTATAAAACAGTTTACTAAAAAACTGTTGGATTAGATGTCTAAGCCCATAACTATAATTGGTATGTACTTGACCCGAGAGTAGCATGGTCCATTTCGGGTTTCATATCACCACGACAATTTGACAGGATGGACTTTTGAGAAGAGGTTATTTATTATTTATTAATATATTATAAGTTCTAATATATTAATATGAAATCATATGATTTAATTAGTATTGATCAAGTATTAATTTGGAATTAATTTTGTGATAAAAAGAAACTAATTAAATTAATGGGGACTAATTATGGTAATTAGTGAAACATATGGATTGGGCTATTGATCCATGTTGGACTAAGTTTATGTAAGGATCCATAAAGAGTTAGCCCACATGAACCATGGATCATAACCCATGTGTATGGATTAGGTTTACCATGACCTTTAGAATCCTACACTATATATATGTTTCTCATACCCTAAAATCGGCTAGATATGTTCTTGGAGTTCATAGGAGCCGATTTTGAAGTTAGCAACCTTTTTCTCAAGTTCTCATTTGTCCTATGTGTGTTGTGAACCGTTTGAGGGATCACACTTGGGGTGCTAAGTTCTTAAAGGCCAAAACTACAAGATACAACAAGAGGTAATTCTATAACTCATATTTATGTTGTTTATATAAACTATATGCTAGTTATAGGCTTCATGCTTTGGAAACAATATTGCATGTATAATTAGAGAAAACATAGATCCAAAGCATTTAGGGTTGTATGTGAACCATAGGCTGTTGTAGTATACTAAAACCCAACAGTGGTATCAGAGCCTAGGATTGTTTTCTATTATATTTAATGCATGACTTAATTTTCAAAGTTGAAAAAATTGGTTTTCTGGCCTCTGACTGATGAACTCGCCGAGTCCACTGGCTGACTCGCCGAGTCCACTCAGTAAAAGGTCAACTCGGCAATTCATGTTCATGTACTCGATGAGTTGATGCTTCTAATGGCAGATTTTCAGGATTTTTGGCCCGTTTTGGATTAGGATCATTACCACAAAATGTTTTAGTTCATAAAATTTGATTTTGTTGGTATGGTAATGTATATTCTCATCCAATTAAAAGAATTGTCAAAATTTCAAGATTTGTATTAGTTTATATGTTAGGCTAATTTTTTGAATATTATTGATGTGAATTATCTTGACTTATGAGTTTAATTAGATCATGAAAATTATATGATATTTTGTTTGGTAAATTTGATCTTAAATGTTTTTAAAGTCCTCCATAACTTGTCCTCAAGTTATGGAACATGAAAAGTTTTTCCATAAAAACCACATTAAAATCATAAGTTATGGAAATCAAAGGTTTTTCAAGAGTTACAAAACTTGCCCTCAAGTTTTGGTATTTGAAAAGTCTCAAATTAAGAAACTCTTGTAATGAAAAGGTGTAACTCTTGGGGTTCATAAATTAAAAAAATTAATTAAATAGTTTTTAATTTTGTTTTTTTATATTTAGAACCTTGAAGTATTTGAAAAATTCAAATTGCACCTTATGGACTTTATTTAATTAATTAAAGTGTTTAATTAAAAGAGATTAATAAATCCATAACAACATGATTTAAGTTTAATTAAATTAAGAGTATAATTCATTAATAGAGTTAAACCACCAAGTATTTTAAAAGTTTAAAATCACCCTTATACTATTATAATATTAAAGGTTTAATAATTATATATGTATAAGTTACAAAGTCAATCTTATCTTTAGTAGACCTCATTCAAGAAGCCGGTCTATAAGGGGGGTATAAGGTTACTGCCTATAATATTGCAGTTTAATGGGTGTCCACTCTCACCCACCGCTTCCTTGACTGGTGGAGGGTTGTTAGCCGAACGGGTAGGATAGGACATTAATTCTCATTAAAAGTATAATGAAAATACCAAGTAACTAAACACTTATAAATTCTCAATCTTAGTTACTTAGAAAAAATGTGAATTTGGTACTAACCCATGAAATTGCACTTTGCAGCTTGTTAAGTCGTTAGTGGAGCGTGTGTGGTTAACCGGCACACTAATCTGGGATTGACAGTGTGTGGCAAAGGGTAGCTTGATGTTAATCATAGATCAATGGAGCGTGTGTGGTTAACCGGCACATTGATTAGGTGATCTGAAAGATTAAGAGTACCAAGCACATTTGCATGGTTATTCACACCTTGTTTGTGATCCTCGACATCCCAGTCACAAACTTGAAGGGCATAATTGAGATTTAAACATGCCATTGAAAAGTTCAATGAATCTCAAAGAATCTAGTAATTTCAATTTATTTAAAACTTAATAATTAATTTCGTTTTTCATGGTGAAAATTGGTAAATCGTCATTTACCTACCTTCAAATATTTTGAAATTGGATTACGGCATCCCTCTTCCGAATTCTAAAATATTGTGTTGGGTCCTAGCCTTAATATTTCATTTGGGTGTTATATTAAGGACTTAAATCAACCAACTTGAATTTCTCCCTTGTAGATGTCTAGTTCTGACAACTATGGTCTTCCCGAATC